TGTAGACTGGGACTAAGTCCTAAGCTTTAAGAAATTGGCCAATCACGGTCAAGTATGAGAAGAATGCGCGACTGTGATTAGTCAATTTCTTAAGGCTTAGGGCTTAAATCTCTATTGTAGACTGGGACTTAGTCCCAGTCTACAATAGATGATTTAAGCCCTAAGCTTTAAGAAATTGGCCAATCACGGTCAAGTATGAGTAGAATACGCGACTGTGATTAGTCAATTTCTTAAGGCTTAGGGCTTAAATCTCTATTGTAGACTGGGACTTAGAGACAGTTCGGGCAAGACATGAAATACATGAATCATTGAGAGGCGTACGCATGTCCGACCCAAACCTAACTCCGAGCGCTTCTTCGTAAGCACCCTAGGTTTGGATCACGTCACCGAAAGTGGGCCGACATTTTTGCCATTCAGTGAATCAAAATTTTGCCACTTGTAGCGCTGGCGGCGCCTTACGCGATTAAGAATTCGCTCATGAGTTACCGATCTTGATCTCACTGGCTCGTAGATACAGCGTATAACCTTTGTTAAGCCCGCTGCAGACGATGCTATTTTTCCTGCTGGATTGCTTGCAATTTAGTAAATTACTAGGAATCCTAAATGCTGAGTGGTGCAACGATAGTAATTTACTAAATCGCAAGCAATCCAGCAGGAAAAATAGCATCGTCTGCAGCGGGCTTTATCTGGGGATCGATTTCTAAAACTTAGGAAAAATGCAAAGTGAATGAATACTAGAATATTTCTAATTTCAACCTGTGAATTTGCTCACTTTTGTAATTTTCACAAGTTTCAGAGATACACAATCCATCTCCTCATCTTATTACGGACGTATCGAGCCTGCTCGAAACTTGTGAAATACGCAGTTTCAAGGAATTAATTTTTATTCTGGTAAGTACGAGTAACAATTTTTTATATTTCAGTAATCGTAGTTCGAAGAGCAAGAAACATGAAATTATTCGCGGTTTTACGAATATCGTATATAGTCTCGAAATTGATATAACATCTCGTACTCTATCATTAATATAACCACGAAAGCTTCATGCATATGACAACCATGTGTCACGTACGAATGCGAATGGAGTTACATAGTTGATGACAGCGCTCCCAGTATTGCTTTTCAGAACGTCTGGCGGGCACAAACATCGGCCCATTCTGATTACGGGCAGTTCGGTCTCCTTATACATATAACTCCATGCCGATAGTTTTCCCGCATTTATTCTGCGATACCCATACAGCACGGAATATTGCAGCAACATTGCAACGGCAGCAAATGTTGCTGAAATGTTTAAATATCACTAAAATATTGTAATGTACGAGTCGTGTCTCATTAGTTCAAATATATCGCATTGCAATGTTGCTGTGTTACAACGTTTCGTTGTAATATTTTAAAAAGCGCACACCTTAACATTGCTGCAATCTTGCAACAGTGTTGCAGCAACATTTCGCAATATTGCAATGTTTCAATGATATCATTCTGCAATGTTCCTGCAATCTCTCTGTGCTGTATGGGACGAATATCATAAAACAGCATGTCACAAATCAGTCATTGCAAAGTAGATCTTGATTTCGATTACTTTATGATGTAAAATTCATCATTTTAATGTACATTGACGTTTCTGTGATTAATCAATTGACATCATTCTGACTTTTTCTTCTCCTTGGGTTCTTCTACTCGAGTATCGAGCGACACACCGCGCATAACACGCATATATTCGCCTAACGGCGCGACGTAACCTGTTGCGCGAACCAACCGAACCCTAACCTAACTTCACGTCGCGCCACCGAGCCGCGGGGCGGCCACGGGCGTCCGAGAGACTCTCCGCCGCTCGTCTCGTTCGAGTCTCGTTTCGCCCGAGCGACGGGCAAAATCTCAGCGGGCGAGCGTCGATCGCGATCGGCGGGGAACACCGTCGTCCTCGAAGCCGTCGCCGTTTTTAAATAGTCCCGCGCGGCGCGCGGTCCGATTCCGGCACGTTCCGCCGCGGGCACGGCGGACCGTCCGGAACGCGGAGCGCGCCCCCCCCCCCGACGATTTACAATCATAAACTGCGGTGTCGCGTATGTATGTACGTATGTATGTATATACTTATCGCGGGAGCGTGGTTTTATTATGATTTTTGAGCGCCAGGTGGCCGCGTTTTTGTTGCCGATCCGCCGTCGGCGGCGCGGCGCGGCGCCGCGCCGCGACTCCCTCAGCGCCATTACATCGATAAATGTCATCGCGGCGGCCGCCAGCGTGAAACGCCGCCGAGCAACGGTTCACCTGGCCCCTGCCGCCCGCGCCGAGAGGAGGAGGGAAGGAAGGAAGGACGGTGGAGCGAGGATCGCGCGACGCCTGTTCCCGAGCACGGCCACGCGTCCCGGTCGCGCGGCACCGCGGCGATGTCGACCAAGCGGAAAAACGCGAGCGGCAAGGCGAAGAGCCGCCCCAAGTCGCGCAAGGTGGAATACGACGAGGAGGACATTTCCAGCGAGCACGACTCGGAGGTCGATGACGCCGAGGCCGGCGCCAACGTCGACGGCGAGGACGGCGCGGCCGAGGACGCGCTCGCGGACGACTCGAGCATGCCCGAGCTGCCGGCTCCGGAGGTGATACCCTTGTTTCTCTCCCTCCCGCGCGCCTCTCTCCCCCCCGCTTCTTCCGTCTGCGGCCGAGCGACGCGACGCGACGCGACGCGACGCGGCGCGACGCGGCGCGGCGCGGCCGACCCGACCAGCCGCTATTGTTCGGGTGTCGAAATGCGATTATTTAAACGAACCCGATGCCAGCGGGTGCCCGGGTTCGTCCTCGACACTTGAACCGCGTTCCCGCGGTCGCGATTGGTGATTTTCTCTGCCCTTCTTTGTGAATTGGCTTTTGATAAATTCCGTTAAGTGTACTGCAGGATCCGGGAGATTTGATTTTTCAATTCATCTCGATTACTCCCGATTGAATCTCGATGTAGATGAGAGCTGTCGCCGTCCATGGTGTTCGAACGGTCGAGACCCCGACTTATTTAAATTATGTTAAACGCGGCAAATTCAACGTTTGCTGTACACACAAAAGGATCCAATGCAACATAGGTATTCACAAGTTTGAGGTCGGTGTTCATAGTCTGATCTTATATTCAACACCGTCTTGAGATCACCTTTAGATCACTCCGCTCCGTAGCCGATGAAATGTTCCGTACGGCGTCTTTGGGTAAATTCAAGACGGTCTTGAATACGAGATGCGACTGTGAGCACCGGCCCTAGACGCGCGTCTTGGCCCGAGCCGTCGCGAGCTTAGATCGTTCCGTCCAGCCGAACGGATTGAGGCGTAGAGTGAAATGTATCGGACGTGGAGTAACTGAAGTCTACCTTTGTACCAGGGTGGCTGGGGCAAGCCTGGAACATTGCTCATGTGTGGCCTTACTAATTGGGAGATGGCTGGTCGCAAGGCACCGCCTAAGGGGGTGAAAGCGAACGTAGGACGTAGCCTGTGGACGCCGCATACCTTTAAGAACCTCAACGACGCGAGAGTGCGACTGATCGCGTCCGGTCCTGCCGCGTCCCACAGCATTGTCGTCACCGAGGATAATAGATGCCTGGCTTTTGGCAGAAACGACAAAGGTGAGCGGTGATGCGTGCGACAATTGTACGAGTTATTGTTTCCCCCCCCCCCATTGAAATACGAAGTCTGTTCTTTACAGCCGAACAAGCTATGCTGGTTCAGAGTTTATCTGTTTCCTTCTGATGTGGAGGAAGAAAGATAGACTCTCCCACACAGCACAGAAAGATTGCAGGAAGATTGCAGAAATGTTACATTGCAAGATTGCAATATTGCCGCAACGTTTCTGGAGGATTGCAGCAACGTTGAAATGTCCGCCCTCAGAGAGATTGCAGTGCAACATTGTAGCAATGTTGCGGTGCAATATTTTTGGAATAATTTGTTGTACATAAACAGAGAATTTACTAATTACATATGCATCCGGGCCTTTTTCAATACACAGCAAGCTGTTGCGAAGCAACCTAAGGAGATTATGTCGCCTCGCAATAGATGGAGATTGCGAGCAACACCGCACTGATCAAGTACTTAATAATTCGCGCATTATTGGTATCAACGAAAATAACATAGTAAAATTCTCGTATTTAGAAAATTTTTTAGTAGAAAATGTAGTATTTTTATTATTTTTCAAACATTGCTGCAATATTGCTATCGAAAGTTTGCAATTTTATATCCCTGCAATGTCTCTGCAAGATTGCAACGTTTCTGCAATGTAACTGCAACCATCTGTGCTGTACGGGCTCTGGTATAGTCAGTTCAGCTGCAAAGAACAGACCTATGGATTCTCCAAAGTCGACCGCCGTTCATCTCACTTTCAGTTGATCTGTCGTGCGCGACTAGAATTGAATCGGCCGACGAGTCGACCGTTCTCGAGATCACCTCGTTTTACCGTTCCATTGTTAAAAACTTCATTGAAGATTAACGCTTACAAGCCTGCATAAATTTCACGCCGGTGCGGGACGATGTCGCCATAAACTTTTTATATTCAATGACTTGGAGGTGTTAATTCAAGCGTGACCAATGTACACTTCAGTGTCTAATTGTATTTAAATTTGCACGCATGGTGTTGCTAGGTCTGATGAGGTCGTATGATTTGCTTAGGTCAACTGGGCGTCGGGGACACGAAACGTCGCGACGAGCCCACCGAGGTTGAAGCTTTAAAGGGACACACGATTATAGGGGCGTCCTGCGGACGCAACCACACCTTATTCTTAACGAGCCGCGGCATAGTTTTCGCCGCCGGCGACAATAAACTGGGCCAGTGCGGGGTCGGCAAGAATGACCCTTGCATCGTGACCGCCACCAAAGTGAAGTACTCCGGGCCGCCGATCGTGAAAGTGGGATGCGGCGCGGAATTCTCGATGATCCTCGACCTCAAGGGCGGCCTGCACTCGTTCGGATGCCCGGAGTACGGCGCTCTCGGCCACAACACCGACGGCAAATACTTCATCACGAACACGAAGATGGCATTTCATTACGAGAAAGCGCCTAAGCGAATCGTCCTGTACGTCGAGCGAGGCAAGGACGGCCACGCGACACCGTTGGACCGCGTGGAGATCACGGACTTCAGCTGCGGCCACTACCACACCGTGGCGATCGACAGCAAGAGCCGCTCGTTCTCCTGGGGATTCGGCGGAATCGGCCGTCTCGGCCACAACGAGCAGCGCGACGAGCTAGTGCCGCGTCTCATCAAGTTTCTGGAGCCGCCCAGCCGCGGCGTTCGCGCGGTGTACTGCGGCAGCACGTACAGCATCGCGATCAACGTCCACGGCTCCGCCCTGATGTTCGGCCAGACTAAGCGCACCGGCGAGGCCAACATGTACCCCAAGCCCATTCAGGATCTGTCCGGTTGGGAGATCCGGTGCGTCGGTTGTTCGCAAACAAGCGTGGTGGTCGCGGCCGATGACTCCGTCATCGCCTGGGGCGCCAGTCCTACGTTCGGAGAATTGGTAAGACATCGCCGCTTTGGAGAGCGACGGGTTCTACATGTACAATATTTCGATTCCTATTCCTCTATAGTGCTGTAATTTAAATCTAATCTTGCCATCCGGTACGAAAGCACTGCGGTCTTACATGGATTTTGCCTATCCCCTCAATTTCATTAGTCGTAGTATTTATGGAAGAGAGATGTAAGGCGCTTGTTCAATATCCATTTTAAAAGGCCGAGTTTACTTGGTAGCTCATTTATTGTTCAAACAAACGAGAGCGCCTTTGAATCCGAGCAAGATGTTGGTAGCCCAATAATTATAATCTAAAATGTTAACTCGTTCATTTATTGTTGCCGGAAAATTTCTATTCTACAAAAGACGACGCAATACCGTGATTAATTTCTCCCCGGTCACTTTGAGAAATTCACAACGCGAGTACCGTTTTTCTGTAACAGTGGGATTTTCTGCACTCAAAATTCCTATGAGATAAAGCGCCGCAAAATCGTAGAATCAAATATATATACATGATTAATATATATAAATGATTCCGATTCTAGGGTTTCGGTGAAATGCGAAAGTCGTCGACGACTCCGATGGAAGTGAAAGCCTTGGAGGGTTTATACATTACTGCTGTTACGTGTGGTCTGTCTCATACGCTTATGATCTGCCGAGACGATACCGAGGAGGAGAGGGCCAAGATTAATAAGCTCCAGGTGTACTCTGTTTAAAATATATTCTTCGATTGCGTAAACGGGTCTCTATTGCATCATTATGCAGCTGATCGAATCAGAAGAACAAGTACCTTCGACGAGCCACAGCTACATTTCGACGAATTTTTAACAAAGTATCCGAGAACGGTAACAGTAGGTCGCCACGAAACGTCCAGAAAAGAGATATAAGATTAGATATTACTACTCTACTTTGTACTTCCAGTTTTTACTTAACGCGCGAATGAAAATCGATCTGTGACATTTGTGAAACCCATTCTGTTAGCAGCTCAGGTTAATAGACCAAACAAGATAGATGTGAGAATATATTTTGATACGTTGCTATTTTATTGAAGTTTGCTGCAATTTTCATCGGAATGGAGATGGTTATTCGTACGGCGGAGCTGAAGAACTGGAAAAAGAACTGGTAGAACTTAGCAGTAACTGCCTTCATTTTTACCGCTTTCTTAATCTATTTCAAATAGTTTATATCATTGATTCATCACAGTAGTACCTGAATCATTACATCTGCAGGAATCGTTTTTTACAATGCGTGTGCATTATTCAGGGACAATCCCCGAATAAGAATTAACACGAGTTAATTACACAAGTTGAATGGAGCCATTCGACTCTGTAATATTTTAACGGTTGTCTGTAAATTAAGTTTCAATACTTACGTTTTAATTTAACAATTCCTTTTCATGTAAAATGTCGTTCTAGCGTCGTGTTAAAGCATACATGTTTAATCTTATTTCTAATAATAGAATTTTGTGTATATCTACATATACGTGCAGGTAAGACCCGTCTTACGACTTTTTACATTAATGATCTTTTTAAAATCATCGAAGTATCTTAAATATAAATTAAACGTTTGTTTTAGTAATTTATTATTTTAAATACTTGTTTAAATATTTAAAAACACTTTTGTTATTTCTAAAAGACAGCAATATTAGTGCACGTTTGGGAAAAATTTGGCAATTTTCGGACCTGTCTTATTTAATTGTATTTACAAATTGCTCCTGTTTTACGATTCTTTACTTTACGACCTTATTTTTCCACTGAAGTTTAACCCCGTCGTAAAACATGTCCAACCCGTATATGAAATTAATTTCAATAAATATTATATATTTCAAAGTGATAAATTGTGGAAGACAGTAATTGTTTCTTCCTTTTTTTGTTGGATAATGGAGAAAATTTATCAAATTCTATACTGACCTAGGCTGACCATACATATTTCGCATTTTAATCTTGCTTTCCAAGATAAATCATATATGCGTGACACACTTTCTCGTATACCATTATTATAGATGCGTTGAGAAAATGTTTGGTCGAATACACAATAAAACAATGAAAGTGCGTTTAGTACGTCGTGTATTGATAAACTTACAACTCCGATCACTGCCAGGATGTATTATCAACATCTTTTTATATTGTGATGTTCAGATATTCATTCCATTCCGTTCCACGTAATACTCTCGTGCGATTTCTGCACCGAAATATTTCTTCTGATAAACTTGCGATGAATGTACAAGTCCAAATATGAAATAAACGAATTTTTTAAGAAACTCCCGTCGAAAGCTTTCGTCCCGTTTAGCAGCTTCGAAGAGAAATCTTTCCATTTTTAACAATTTTCACAGAATTGTTTATCTTCCACCCGTTCAGTTTCGCCAATTCAATTTACTTGCGACAAGTGTCGATATTGACACTTGGACATTTCCAACAATGCTCCTTGACGAGATACAATTTTTACTGTTCTGAAGTTTACTGTTCACAGGCTACAAGCCGTATCTCTCTCGACAGTTTTATTCAAGCATTTAACGGCGTTTTCGTCTTCACATTTTTGCTAGTTGGTAAAATTATACATTTTATAAACTAAAAGTTCCTTCCTTAGTCAAATTTTACATTTTGTTAATATACTTTTTCCCAAAAAATTTTAAATATGTATTTTTTTTTACCATAAACTCTTGTCCCATCATTGTCGTAATAGAAGCGACAAGTTGTCGAACACTGTGCATCTCCTCTTTTGAAACATTTCCATATTTCCAGCGTAACAATTGGTGTGCTATGTAATGTTTAGGATCTGATGGCTGATATCGGAAAGCTCTGCTTATTGCCCACGACAGTGGCACCATCACATTTTGTCTACATATCGTATATCCGTTACACATCCATCATACTTATCTCATATAAACTCGCAATCAGTCACACGATGCATTTATAAAATGCTGTAAAATATACCTCAAATAATCGTTTCTTTTCAGAGTCTCGCCAGCTTGTTCCTTCGGCAACAAATTGAAACAAATGCACGTGGCAAGCTTCGTTGTGGTAGAAATACTTGAAAGAGCTGTTTTACTTGAACTAGAAGACGAAGAATAAGATGTTTTCGACGAAACATCGGACGCAGCGTCAGTTTTTCCCTCCAGCAAAGCAGAGCGCGATTCCAATACAGTTAAACTGCACTCGTGTGATATTCCCTGTTGATTATTTCAATTTCAATATTATTTATTGTGTTTGTCTAATATCGCTCGAAATCAATTAAGACACCTCAGACATTTCTAGAGCTCCCTTTCCTCTGTATTCGTTATATCCAAGATCAATCAGAATACTCTCAACTTCGTCATCGATACCGCGCTCTTCTACATAATTACACGTGTCCTCGTCCATCCCGAGCTTTTTCAGAAAACGAATTATCGTTGGTGAGGCCAGCTTGACTTTCCGCTGCCAGTCTAAAATCCCTGGAACGTCAATGCCGCTCGATAAAAGCCGATACAATACACTTTCATCTTGAGACACCAGTCCGCGCATAACAATGGCCCAGCAATGACTTTCAGTGAATCCAATAGCAGCCAGATTCCAAATCAGTCTATCGTCGGATTTCTTCGTCCATGTATTCGCGTTTATCTCCACCCCGAGTCCGCGGAAATACTTCAATTCCTCGGAAGCGAGACCGAGGAGACCATATTTCATTGCTTCCACGATACTTCGTAGCGACATGCCTAAAATTTACTGTGCAATGTAACAAAATGACGAGGCGCGCGCGTGTCCCCTCGAGAAATTCCCATGCGCGAGTCTTCATACCTTTTCCTTCTAGTTCCAGTAAAATACATTCATTATACATTCCACTGTGGACAATGAAATGCAATGATTTATTACGTGACGCATTACATCGCACATCGGTGCACGCGGATTCAATATTGTTATGTCGCCCAAGTTTGCCCTTTAGCAAGCTGTGTAATTTCTCGTTGCTCCATCCACCATAGACGTGCATTCCTTTATTTGTCAATTTTCTATGTAGCTTCGTTTCACGTAGCGCCTCTTTGTCAATTGTATCTTGTACATCTGACATTTTCAGGATAGATGGCCGTAAGCCGGACGAATAAAAGCAGTTTTAAGTTGTTCTACGATGATATCACAAGTGCCAAGATACAATCTAATTATGTAGACAATTTTTTTCTTAAGTTTAACATATGCCATCGATCGAACTTTTATTTTCCGGTCCTTGTGACATTATGCAATTGTCATGGATTGGTTATTGCTCGTCGCGTGACATATTTTTGCATTAAAATAACATCGCGCACCCAGAAAATGTTGCTTTTATTTACAAATGAATGAGTTATAATACATAATTTTTTCTCCGAGTTTCGCGCTCACGGTATGCACGGTGCGATTCTTTGCGTTAAAAAAAGTAAAGCAACTTTTTACTCGGGCAAAATTATCGAGCGGTATTCTTTAACTCGAGAGCAATTTCAAGCTATGAATCATACCTATGAATCAGTGATGATGCATGCTGAACGTGTAGTTTCACTATTACTGTAAAGATTTCATAACTAATGTACAATCTTTAGCTATCAAACTTTTTTAACACTCGTATTATCAAAAGTAAAATAAATCTTATCCACAGAGTAAATATATATATACAATACATACAAAAGAAAAGCCTACATTGCTTTAAAATATTCGATTAGGCCTTCTATCTATATCTCTGGAATATTTTAAATCTAATCTATTTTACTTTCGACTGTTGTTTCAAGCTTATTCTACAATGGACGCAAAAACGCAAGACGTTAAGCCGCAACGCAAAAACTCGGCCATTAACATTCTTCTCACATTTGACTGCGATTGGTCGATTTCTTGCGTTGTGACTTAGCGTCACGCAATTTGCGTCTATTGTAGAGTAAACTTTAGAGAGGTCGATTAGATTTCCAATCTCTTATCAAATAAATATAATTGCTATGGAACTTTTGGAGAGACCAAGCGAGAAAATCAATCAGCATCACCGAAAAACGGCGACAATGAAATCTCTTACATGCCCTTCACGATTTTATAAGACTTTTAGAGAAATAATAAAATAGCATGTACAACACACGTCATCTTCGATTCGTTGGTAATTTAGAGCGTTCATACATCAGTGTCGGATCGTTCGCTTAAGAATTGTTGCTCGTACGCCATTTTATCAGCGAGAAACAGTTGTCTCTTCTGGCAGAAAAGCACGTTGCGCATTCTGTGTACACAAACTCTAGAATACGCTGTATATCACTACCGTGTATAGCCGTATTGAAATCTTTGTGAAATATATACTCGCCGCTCTCTCGGCGCAGTATACATTCCTCGACAAGCATGCATACTGTAGCACCTAGATATTAGCGCATAATCGACAAATTAAAGAAACAACATCCTTAAATATATTTATACAGTATAATACACATTTGTTTTCCAGATGTAACAACGATATGCGTCAAGCGCACGTACTGTGCAAAATATAAAACGACAAACACAATCGAAAGAGGACTATAAAAATGTTCGAATTCACTTGTACAAAAACGTGACCGACTACCGTCTACGCGAGTGTCTCATCGAGTGCTCTACGGGCGTTTCCCTTAGTATTCGTAAACCATGTATTTACACGAACACAAAATTTTGCTCAACATCGTAGATCTCTATGCCAGATTCGATTAACGTTTAACGACAGTTTGTACATTTAGACGTGCGCGCGTGCCTCTTTTTTGAATGGGTTTCGTACAATCTTAATACACAACATGAAGTGGTGACTCGTTGACCCTCTCCACATTACACTCTACTTCCTATGTCGGATCTTCAAACACACCGTACACCATCGTCGCAAACCCACGCACTTGTTCGTCACAGTTGATTACAGCAGACTGCAATAACAACTTGAGTACGTGTCCTGCGGTTGATGGTCGTTGCTCAGCTGCATTCCTCGCTTTCCCATCCGATGCCTCGCGCCACCCATGGTACCATTGTCGTACAATCGCAAGGAATGACTGTCCCAAAGGCCGGGCGTTTGTATTATCTATCGCACACGACGTCATACTTTTATTTAGCGCCGTAGACAAGCAAAGACACCAATTATAAATGGCACAACCCTTGGCAATCGTAAATAATAGTCGTAATCCTTCCTGAAACATGTATCTACATAAAAGTGTGGTATAAATTCGTACCTTTTGCACGAGCTCCTCAAAGCAACACTTCACGCCGTCCGCCGTTTTCGCGCTGCTCTCGATGTACAGGGTCTGGTGCCTCCTGGCGAACTGCAGGCCCTCCTCGGTGCTCACTTCTCTATTCGGCAGGTCTATCTTGTTGCCCACCACCATCTTGACGATGTCGGTTTTATTGCAGTACGTATTCAGCTCGTTGAGCCACGTCTCCAGCTTGACGAAGGTATTGCGGTCCGTGACGTCGTACATCAAGATCGCGCCCTGGCCGTCTCTGTAATAACTCGGCGTTAAGGTGCGAAATCGCTCCTGGCCGGCGGTGTCCTGCAAACAGCGCGCTTCGATGAGGCTGCGAGCTTCGCGCGCAGGGATTACGTTATCCTGCCGCCGCGAACAAGGCCGCGATTACAAACCCAAATCGCGAGTTTCACCACGTTGCCGTCGATGGTGACCTGCTTGGTCTTGTAGTCCATGCCGACCGTGCTCTGCATGTTCTCGTAGAACTCGTCCTCGGTGAACCTCAGGAGTATGCTGGTAGCGACAACATCGTAAATTAGCGTTTCGAACGTCACCGATAAGTGGAGTAACTGCGCTATTACCTCGATTTCCCCACGTTAGACTCGCCGATCATGAGGATCTTCAGTATCGTCAGAATGTCCTCCTGATCCATAGCGATTACCTCGCGACGTATCAACCGATACTGGTCTACTAGTGCTGAAGAAAATAAGACACCGTTCTCGTAACTCGTAACGTCGCCAATTCGTGCACTGTGACGCTAAACAACGCCACTGTGCCACTGTGCCTGGCGCTGGTAATGCTGGTATATATGTATACATGTGTACATACATGTGTACAGTCAGGAG